AATTTTCCTATTTCTTCAGTTAATCACATTTCGCCAATTTCGTTAATTTCACCAGCTTTGCTGCATTTCACCAGTTTCGTTAGTTCTTTACATTTCACTAGTTTTACTATGCTTCACTAGTTTCATCAGTTCATCACATTTTGCAAGTTTTGTCACGTTTTACATGTTGTCAGTTCACCACATTTCGCTTTTTAGAACTTTTTTTTAGCAAAAGTCGAGATTCTAGCTTCGACTTTTGCTAATGCGAAGCCCCAAGTCTCACTTAACATCTACCAGGTTGGTGAAAAGTAACTAAACAGTGATCTTTTTTTAAACTATTGATTATCACTTAATGTTTATACCAGTATTATGTAGATATAATAAATAATTATAGAAGTTCAATATTAGTAGAGATAGTAAAATAGATCACTGTTCAGTTACTTTTCACCAACCTGGTATACTTGAGGACCAGGGAGGAATGCAAGTATCGAAATCGTATTTGTTGTAATATAGAAAAGTGTATTAGTTCTATTCACAAATAAAAACGACAAACAACTATAAAAAAAAGGAATTATACTCCCCTAAAAAAACTACTACAAGGACAATAAAAATATCACTACAACATAATCACAGCTCCTCAAAACAAAATCACTCTATTAATAACAATAGATCATTACAATGATAAAGCAACACTATCCACAAGAAACTCCTACTTAAAAAAGAGTAGTTAGATATATGCACAAGCTGATAAAACTAATAGCAAAATCCACCAAGCAACAAGCCCACTTACAAAATCATGAAAAAGGCTCCAAGAAAGGTAATAGCACCAGAAAAAATGACAGTATCAAGAAAAATAACAACACCAGGAAAAGAGATCAGAATCAATGCCACCAGAAAAAGTGATGATACCAAGAAAAATAATAGCACTAGGAAAAGCGACGACACCAGGAAAAGCGATGATACCAAAAAAAGAAATTAGAATCAATGCCACCAGAAAAAGCGATGGCACCAGGAAAAATGACAGTACTAGAAAAAACGATGGCACCAGGAAAAGCGACGACACCAGAAAAAGCGATGATACCAGAAAAAGAAATCAGAATCAATACCACCAGAAAAAGCGATAACACCAGAAAAAATGATGGTACCAGAAAAAGTGACAACACCAAAAAAGTGACGATACCAGAAAAACGATGATGCTTTTAACTAAAAAAAAAAAATTAGATGAAAAAAAGATCATCAATTTATATTAGTGTTCTGATTTAGCTAAACGTGTACTGTTATATAAGACCTGTGCAATAATATAGTTTCTT